ATCTTCAATAATCTGAGCTAGGATCCAGGGAAACTTTAAAAGGTAAACTAACTTGAACTAAAACTGCAAGAAACTTTAAAATCTTCAATAATCCGAACTGGAATCTGGATATTTTAAAATCTAAAATAACCTGTACTAAAACCTGGAGAAATTTTAAAATCTTAAATCAGGGGTGTCCAACCTTGGCAACTTTAAGACTTGTGGACTTCAACTCCCAGAATTCCTCAGCCAGCAAGTCTTAAAGTTGCCAAGGTTGGACACCCCTATCTTAAATAAATAGAACTAAAATCTGAAGAAATATTAAAGTCTAAAATAACTTGGAACTAAAATCTGGAGAAACTTGAAAATCTAAAATAACTTGAATTGAAATCTGAGGAACGTTTCAAATAACTTTTAAGTAAAATAAAAATAAATTTTAAACATCTAAACTAACCTAAACTGAAATCAGGACAAAATTTAAAAATCCAAAATTAACTGGAACTAAAATCTGGACAAACTTTAAAATCTAGGATCCAGAGAGCGCGTCATACCAGCCAATGACAAACCTCGGCATCCTTCGAAAGCGGAAGAGGAGGAGCCTGGCTTTGGGGAGATCAAAAAAGAGGGGAGGGCCCCCTCTGTTCCCCCCACCCCAAAAAAGCAAGGGGCGTTCAGGGGCATTCAGAGAGCTGGCAGAGAGGGGTCCAAGTCAGAGCCATTAAACCAGAAATGGCCACTACTACTGGTTTTGCAAGTCCATCTTGAGGGGCCCGTCCCGTTTTCTTGGCCGGATGCGTTGTGTCCCCCGCAAAGGGTCCCTCGGCCAGCTGACCCCCATCGGCCTCTCCGGCAGGTTTGAGCTGAGCCCGTGGATGAGAGAAGCCTGCTTGGTGGTGAGGGCCCACCTGGGCCATGGAAGAGGGGCCCCAAAGAGCAAAGAGCTGGTGAGTAGCCCCAGGAAGCGGCCCTTGGGCTCGGCGGAAAGAGCCGGCAGGGTCTTCACTCCGTGCCTGGCAGAAGCCGCCCTGGGCCGGGGGGGGGCGGGGGGGACCCCACATCCTTCCACAAAGGACCCCAAGTAATTCATCTGCTTTCCTGCTTTGTGGGGGGGACAATTCGGTGTGGCCGTCTCAGGGCTGCTTGGTCCCCCAAACTGGCCGGCACAGGCTTGCCGGAGTTACGGGTTTTCCTTCCCGTCTCTGGGCGCAAAAGGGAGCCCCGGAACGGGAAATCCTCCTGCGAGGCGGGACAGGCCAGGGGCGGGCATTGAACCTCTGCTCCGCTTGGCGCCCAGCTGTCCAGCAGCAGCCTGGTCCTGCAGGAATGGTTCCGGGTGTCCAGCCAGAAGAGTTCTCGGGCCAGCAAGGTGGCCAAGTACCTGCAGGCCCTGGACGAGCTCTCCCCGGCCCTCCTGGCGCACGTCATCAACCTCTCCGACGGCAACGGGAACATGGCGCTCCACTACAGCGTCTCCCACTCCAACTTCGACATCGTCCGGCTCCTCCTCGACACAGGTGACCCACCCAGCCACCCCGGGCAGGTGCCCCCCTTTTCTCAAGTCCGCCCTATTAACTCACGGACAGGATCAGCCCCACCCTTCCAACTGGCCCCTGGGATAGAATAGAATAGAGCTGGAAGGGACCTTAGAGATCATCTAGCCCAACCCCCCTTCTCAAGCAGGAGACCCTCGACCGTTTCAGACACCTGACTGTCCAGTCTCTTCTTCAAAACCTCCAGTGAGGAAGCGCCCCCGGTATCTGGTGGCAAGCAGTTCCACTGGTTCATTGTCCTCCCCGTTGGAAGTTTCTCCTTAGTTCCAGGTTGCTTTTCCCCATGATGAGTTTCCATTCTTTTTTGTCCTGCCTTCAGGTGCTCTGAGAATAGTTTCTCTTCTTCTTTGGGGCAGCCCCTCAAGTCCTGGAAGGCTGCTACCACGTCCCCCCTGCCAAACCCAAACCCCACAACCATTCTTCGTATGATTTAGTCTCCTGGCCTTCGATCATCTTAGTTGCTCTTCTCTGCACTTTTTCCAAAGTCTCAACCTCTTTTTTTTGTAATCTGGGAACCAAAACTGGGCGCAGAATATTCCAGGTGTGGCCTTATGAAGGCCTTATAAAGCAGCGCTGATGCTTCCTGTTGATTCTCTGCCTCTGTTTATACAACCCAGGATTGTGTTGGCTTTTTGGGCTGCTGCCACCCACGGCTGGCTCCGGGTTTAAGGGATCCTCCACTAGGACTCCAAGGTCCCTCTCGCAGTCCCTAAACAGACTGGAACGGATAAAGCCTCGCTCTTTTCCCCCGCCCCTCAAGAAAAGCCCCTTTCTACCAGTCTCACCTGACGATTCCCAGGTGCTTTGGGAGCACCTCAAAAAAAGGCGCAGAGAAGAGCAACCAGGAGGATGAGGGGACTGGAGGCTAAAACATACGACAAACGGTTGCAGGAAGCGGGCCTGGCTAGTCCAGGGAAGAGAAGGATCAGGGGAGACAGGAGAGCAGCCTTCCCAATATTTGAGGAGGGGCTGCCACAGGGAGGAAGAAGAGGGTCAAGCTATTCTCCAAGGCACCCGAAGGCCAGAGAAGGAAGAATGGGTGGAAACTGATCGGGGAGAGATTCAAAATGAGAAATAAGGAGAAATTTTCCGACAGGGAGAACAATCAACGGATGGAACAGAAGGGAGGAAGGAAAGGAGGAAGGAAGGAAGGAAGGAAGGAAGGAAGGAAGGAAGGAAGGAAGGAAGGAAGGAAGGAAGGAAGGAAAGGAAGGAAAGAAAGGAAAGAAAGGAGGAAGGAAGGAAAGCAGAGGGAGGAGGGAAGGAAGGAAAGAGTGGTGGAAGAAAGGAGAGAAGGAAGGAAGGAAGGAAGGAAGGAAGGAAGGAAGGAAGGAAGGGAGCTTCATCCCTGGAGGCTTTCAAGGGGAGATTGGACTGCCATTGGTCAGGGATGGCATAGGGTCTCCTGCTTGGGCAGGGGGTTGGACTAGATGACCTACAAGATCCCTTCCAACTCTTGATTATCTGTAAAATCTTCCCCAGTGCGGTGCCCATGGGCCACAGAAGACCAGAAAGGCAACTCGGGGTTGATGGGGGCTTCTCTCCCCTCATGTCCTCACCACCAATTTCTCTCCCCCCCACCCCACCCCCCAAAAAATAAGGTGTCTGCAACGTCAACCACCAGAATAAAGCAGGCTACACGGCCCTCATGTTGGCTGCGCTGGCGACCATGGAGCGGCAGGACGACATGGCCGTCGTCCGGCGCCTCTTCGACCTGGGCAACGTCAACGCCAAGGCCAGTCAGGTAGGTTTCTCGGGGGTGGGGGGGCAAGGCGGGCCCTCTCTGGGACCGGGGAGGGATTCAGTGGGAAGCAGCGCGCTCTGGGCATGCTCAGGAGCCCTCTGACAGCCCTTGTGCCCGTTTCCATTGGGGTTGCAGGCCGGGCAGACGGCGCTGATGCTGGCGGTCAGCCATGGGAGGCAAGAGATGGTGCAGGCCCTCCTGGCGTGTGGGGCAGACGCCAACCTGCAGGACGAGGAGGGCTCCACCGCACTCATGTGCGCCTGCGAGCACGGCCGGGCGGAAACCGTGCGGCTGCTTCTGGCGCAGCCATCCTGCGACACCTCCATCGTGGATCATGTAAGTCGCTCCCTCCGGTTGTCTCAAGCTGCTAGTCCTCAGTATGGCAAACGTTCCCAAAGGAGGCTCACCCGAACCCAACTTTTCTCTTTGTATTTACCGATGTGCAATCTAACTTTTAAAAAAATACGTTTATTGATGGGGTTTTTTTTCCCTTTGTATACAATATGTGCTTAAAGAACAGTGTTCTGTTTGGGTCAATCCATTTCCATCTTAAGCTCCTAATTTCTACCTCTGGAGCATCTAACTTAGTGTAAAAGCTACACCAGGGGTCCTCGGTCTACGACCTGGAACCGAGCCCACGCGCAAAGTCCATTCGTGGAAGTGTGCCAAACCGTCCCCTCTCCTGCCAGCAGTCCGCAGTACTGGGAAGATGACGGACCGCCGAGCTACACGACAGGAAAAGCATTTCAAGGGTCACCTTGTGTACAAAAAAAATTAAAAAAATCCTTTGTCCGTGTCGTTTTCTCCTCTCCATTTTCCCATTTTGGCATGAATTCCAAAGCTGAACTTTTTGCAAAGATTACAAAAAATAAATAAAAGCAAAAATTCTGGGGTTTCCTTCCTTTTAAAAGTTCTGGGAACTTAAGAATTTGTCGTAGCTTTTTTCGTTCAGCCCACTGCCCCCATTGCCCTGGTGCTGTTTAATGCACCCCAATTCCAACCGCAAACTCTTTAGGTGAAGGAACATCAATATCCTTGATTTACTTAGTGGCCGTTCGGAGCTACGCCAGGCCTGCCCAGGGGTGCTTACCGCCGGTTTCTGAAGGTTCAGTGGCCATCCCCACCACGCCACGTGGCTGCGTGCGTTTTGGATGTTTGCAGCGTCCCAGCTCACGCGGCCACATCTTAATGCTTCTGCCAAACAAAATGGCGTTTCCAGTGTTCAGCAAAACTGGTTCATGGTGAAGACTGGGTTTGCCCGACGGATCACAGCGGCTGCTTTTGTCTCCCGGCCGTGATTAAATCCACTGCGCCATCTCACAAAGGCGAGGACGTGAATATCACCTCAAAGCCGTTAAAACTTTGGGCGCTCCGCATTCGAATCTCAAGGAGCAGCGCCGGCGTTCCAGCCGCCTTCCCTTCCAGACAAGAACTCGACTTCTCTGCAAAGGTTCCTTTATTTGGAGAGTAACTGGCACCTCTGTGAAATCCCGAATCTGGAAGTTTCGGGCTTCCTTGCAAGAGTCAAAACTTCTACAAATCCATTTCCCTCCCCTTAGCTATCACACCACACGGTCCAATCCCCATTCGTCCTAAAGTGAGATCCCCATTTCATGTTGTGCCCCACTCCGTGACCTTGAACCAAAGAAAGAATTTTATTTCGTCTAACTAGATGTACTCCAATAAATTCCCCCCCCCCCCCGCTTTCTCAGGCCCAGTTATGGCAGCATCGAACCTCAATAGGGCTTCCAAAGCTGACAAGCAGAATCGAGAGAAGTTAAAAAAATGCTTAGCATTTTCATAAAAATAGTCAACAGACTCCTGATTATTATTATTTTTAATTTTGGAAACACAGGGCCGCCTCTTGAGGCCCAGACACCACTCGTAACTTTCCTGACTCTCTCTTACAGGACGGCAACGATGCTGTGGCCATCGCCTTGGAGGCCGGACACGACAACCTCGCGGCTCTGATATCTGCCCACCTCACACAGTCCGCAGACAGGTGAGTGCACCCCCTTGGCAGAGGTCCAGGTGCCCTCACCAACTAGCCCTTAGCTTCTCTGGACTGAAGATTTGTCACCTGTTAGATCCTGTCAGGGCATTCTTTTTCAAGAGGCGACTGGACTTTCTTGTTTTTGCTTTGAAGACGTTTCACTCCTCCTCCAAGAAGCTTCTTCAAGCTCCAACAGGATAATGGGGAAGGGAAGGATTTATACACCTTGCAGACAGCTGGTCATTTGCATCCTTTTAGAGGGTCCTTGAGGCCACTTGGAGGTTTGTCTGTGTCCTCGGGGTCACCTGAGGTGGTGCAAAAGGCTCCCGTAGTCTGGCATTTCTTTTTTCCCCCCAATTTTTGTAGTCTGCAAGGCCTCCAAAAGAAAAAATAAGAAAAGTCTAGTAGCCTCCTGAAAAAGCACCTCTGGGTCAACCACGACCTGGACCGACTGAGAATCTCTGCAGACGTTTCACCTGTTAAGAGGTTAGCCCGTCGGTTTCAACCTGCGCAAGGAGACCGAGGCCGCGTCCCACAACAGGCACCGAAAGCCCAGTTGCGGAGGCTGGGTCAGAGGTTTTAGAGAATGTCAACTCCTTGCCCTTCCCTCACTGAACGCAGCTTACACCGAAAGAGGCTCTTCCCCCGTTGGCCAGACGGCCTGCAGACCAAGTCGGGGCTCAGGAGGTGCCAGGAAGAGAAGTTATGACAGAAAAAGAGGGGGGGGGCTCTTCACAGCCATCGGTTTTGTCTCTGTTCACAGGAC